AGTGGGGTACCTGGCCAGACCTCTTGAGGTTATCCTTCCGCAGAGACACTGACACTTTAAGACGCTGGAAACAGCCGTTCCTCCGCCTCCCTCGCTCCGCATCCTGTCCTGGCCAGGCTACAGCGCCTTCACGCCCCGCGGGCCACGCCCCTGCGCGTTGGTTGGTCTTTCCAGAAGTGATGAAACTTCCCGCAAGCATTACAGGAGCCGGGAGGGTATAAAGTGAGGGGTGAGAGAAAGCCCCCACCCTGCAAGCTGCAGCTGGGCCCTCCCGGCCCACCCGCCCCACAGGAGCCCAGGTAGGCCCGGCAGCCGCGGGTCGCGGCGCCCTTGCAGCGAGCGTGCCGCAGGGCTGACCCCAGAGAGGTAGGAAGATGCGCGGCAGCCTGGCCCGCCAGAAGGGTGGGCAGACGCGGATCCCTGCACGCCGGGATGCCGCAGCTTTAGCCAGGCCGGGGAGGCGGGGCCGATTGTTGCGCACCTGGGAGCCAGTTGGGGCGGGAAGACCTCCGCTGTGGTCCGGGAGAGAGGGATCGCGTGGCCCCCCCGAGAGGCGGCCCTGCCGCTCCGGAGAGACTGCGGCGGCGGTTTAAGTTGGCGCCTGTAAATTTCATTATTTTGTTATTGTTATTATTATTATATTGCGTCGAAGACTGCGGAAAATTTTGCATTTCGAGGGTCCTGCCCTGGATGGGCTGGAGGGCGCACGTGGTCCGGGTGCAGCTGGAAGTCGCGGGGCCACGCGTTCCCTAGGCTCTGATCCTGGAGAGAGTGTCTCCTGGGCTGTCTGTCACGGCCTCGGATACTCCTTACCTCCGGCTTCCCACCCGGTTTTTCCGAGCTACCCCTCCCCCCATCTCTTGTTGCAAGACTCAACTAGTGACTTGCTGAGCAAATCCTGCCCAGAAGAGATCAGTTTAGGATGACAGGCGGCGCGGTCTGGAACAGGCAAAAAAAAAAAAAAAAACCCGAAAAACTGGCAGGGCTTTTCTCAGTGGTTATCTGTTTTATAGGAATGGCTTCAAATTAATGTTGCTATTTTGAGTGAAGGAACACTTTCCGCCCCCAGCCTGTGGCCTACATTATTTCTTCACCGTCTGTAGCCCGTGGTGCTTGACAAATAATTTAAAAGCACCAGTAACTCAGCTTTTTCATTGATTGATCGCATTCTTGTAAGATTCACTAGAGGTAACTTAGGTCTTGAAGCTGTGCAGGTGTTAGTTGCTGAGATCTTGAACTTCACCATAACACTTGATGTAATTAAATGTTTAAGTTTTTAAGTAATTAAATGCGCTGAAACAGCAGTCCAATTCGGTAACAGTTAGCCACAGGTGACTGTTGAAAACGGGAAATGCTGGTTAATCCGGATTGAAATTTGCTTTAAGTGTTGACGATTTAATAAAGAGAAGCAATGTAAAATATCTTATCGATATTTTTGTACTGATTTTACATGTTGCAGTAATAGTAATACAATTTTCAGTACATTGTGTTAAAATCTATTTAAAATTTCATTTTTTCTCTTTTAACGGGGCTACTAGTTTATTCAGTATTACATATGTGGCTCACATTTCCATTGGATAGCACTGCTTTAGACTTTTATGAGAAAATATGGAAAATTACTGGGAACAGGTAACAGCAGTGGGAAAAAGCCTTGCTGTAGGATGTTTGCAAGTAAGACTGATTCCAATGAAAATAATTGGTGATAGTTTTAATTTGCTTTTCCTACTGCAGAAATGTGTGCTTTGCGATCATCTGTCTTCCCTCTTTCCCTCCAATTGAGTGCTTAAGTGTATTGCTCTAGCACGATTAATGGGATTCACTAGCATTAGGAAGACCTAGGGAAATGAGTCACTAATGACCTCATGTGATTTTCAAAGCCCTTTCAGAGCCTATTTTTCATTGTATAGAGTCAGAGGTAGATGGCTTATTGACAGTCAACTCACTTAAATCGCACTGAATTTTCCTAGTAAATCTCAAAGTAAATCCAAGCAAACCTAGTTAGTTGTGCTTTGCAGGTACTGCTTTTTTTTCCTTCAAATTGAAGGTGCATGCCAAGTCTGCATGGGCACCATGTTTCCCAACAGCATTTGCTCTTCTTGTCTGTCACATTTTGGTAACTTCAAATTTTATTACTCAAATCTGTGATAAATGATCTTTGAAGTTTCTATTGCACAAAGCTTGCTACTTGCTGAAGATTCAGATTATGGTTAGCATTTTTTTTAGCAATATTTTTAAATTATAGTATGTACATTGCTAGACATCATGCTATTGCACATTTAATAAATAGACTACAGTATAGTGTAAATAAAACTTTTATATGCACTGGGAAACCAAAAAGTTTATGTGACTTGCTTTATTACTAGAACCAAACTGACAGTGTCTCAAAGGTGTTCCTGTATCTGGTTATAGGCATTTGGTCAAATGCCTGGAAGGGTCCATATAGAACATGTGATACTTCATTTCCAAGTTGTTTTAATACAGTTTTCCATTAATTTGGTCTGGTCTCCTGAAAAGGCCTAACAAGGCTGTGGTTCTTTGGCCTGTGAGGATGAACCACATTGTTCTTCCGAGATACTGCTCCGTCTGTCCCACCTACTTTGGTTCATTTAAATGTGAATGAAATGTCTTCAGAGGATTGTTCCAAGTGATTAATATAACTTGAATATTTATATACTTTTTGATGCCATTTATCTAGGCATTTGCTACAAATTTGCATTTAAAAAATACGAAAATTGTTTCCAAGAGTTCCAGATTTTTACCTAAGTAAGGTAACTGGAGTTGAAGACATCCAAGTAAAATGTCTCTTTATTTCACAGTTGAGAACTGAATTTGAATAGAAAAGTAATTAACATTTGTCTTTGTATAGGAAGTACTTACTTGCTTCTTGGCCTGCAAAGACAAGCCACGTTGTTTTGCAGAGATACTGCTGTTTGTCCAGGCTACTTTGCTTTCTTTCTGACCACGGTGGCTTTGAGACAGAAGTGTTTAAGAGTATTTTGGTCCTTTAGAACATTTTGATGGTGAACATTTTGTATCTCTGTCAACTTAAAAAAAATTTTTTTGTCATTAAGCTAGGATATCAGATAATAGTGCTTTCTCTTCTCTTTTTGCAATTTCTTTGATAATATTTGTATAAATCACTTGGCAGTATGCTAGAAGTAGTGAAATGTTTATAATATCTAAGTAAGTTAATATTACACTTAGGAAATATGTACGACCATCTTTTCTACCCATTAAATGTCTGTTACGACCAACCTAGACAGCATATTAAAAAGCAGAGACATTACTCTGCCAATAAAATCTGTCTAGTCAAAGCTATGGTTTTTCCAGTAGTCATGTGTGGATGTGAGAGTTTGACCATAAAGAAAGCTGGGTGCCGAAGAATTGATGCTTTTGAACTATAGTGTTGGAGAAGACTCTTCAGAGTCCCTTGGACTGCAAGAAGACCCAACCAGTCCATCCTAAAGGAAATCAGTCGTGAATGTTTATTGGAAGACTGATGCTGAAGCTGAAGCTCCAATACTTTGGCCACCTCATGCGAAGAACTGACTCATTTGAAAAGACCCTAATGCTGGGAAAGATTGAAGGTGGGAGGAGAAGGGGACAACAGAGGCTGAGACGATTGGATGGCATCACTGACTCGATGGACATGAATTTGAGTAAGCTCCTGGAGTTGCTAATGGACAGGGAAGCCTGGTGTACTGCAGTCCATGGAGTCGCAAAGATTCATACATGACTGAGCAACTGAACTGAACTGAACAGGTAAAGAGAAGCATTTAGGGGACTTGCCTGGCAGTCCCTGGCAGTTAAGACTCCCAGATCGACTGCACAGGGTGTGAGTTTGATCTCTGGTTTTAGTTGTTGTTCAGTTGTTCAGTCCTGTCAACTCTTGGTGACCCCTTGGACTGCAGCACACCAGGCTTCCTGGTCCTTCACTGTCTCCTAGAGTTTGCGCAAACTCATGTCCATTGAGTTGATGATGCCATCCAGCCATCTCATCCTCTGTTGCCCTCTTCTCCTGCCCTCAAACTTTCCCAGCATCAGGGTCTTTTCCAGTGAGTTGGCTCTTTGCATCAGATGGTCAAAGTATTAGAGCTTCAGCTTCAGCATCAGTCCTTCCAGTGAATATTCAGCACTGATTTCCTTTAGGATTGACTGGTTGGATCTCCTTGCAGTCCAAGGGACTATCAGGAGTCCTCTCCAGCACCACAATTCAAAAGCATCAATTCTTAGACATTCAGCCTTCTTTATGGTCCAGCTCTTACTTCTGTACATGACTACTGGAAAAACCATAGCTTTGATTATACCGACCTTTGTCAGCAAACTGATGTTTCTGCTTTTTAATATGCTTTCTAGGTTTGTGAGATATTCTTTGAAGGAACAAGTGTCTCTTAATTTCATGGCTGCAGTCTGCAGTGGGGGAACCAAGATCCTGCATGCCCATGGCACAGCCAAAAATTCTGAATAAAAAAGTAAAAGAAAGAGAGATACATTTATTCTCAAGACCTAAGAGGTGATTGTAGTATGCTGGAGCATCTCTTGGATTTTTCAGAGCTTTTGGGATTCTGGGATGAAGAGAGTAGACTAGGATCTCTGGATGGGCTGGAGCCAGTGTGCATGTGTATCTGTGTCTTGGGTGTAAACCTAGGATAGAAAACAGAATATTGCCTGAACACTGCTAGCTTTAGCTGACCAAATCATAATGTCAGAGGGAAGCAGGCTTTGACTAGGGGCTAAACTGCTGTATATTATTAATAGCTGGCTGGATGTAAAGGTCATTTCATCTTTCCTGAATACTTGTAAGTAAATTAAATCATTCTCTTACCCTCTGTGCCTGCCAACCTACTGGTAAATTGCTGTGGATAAGATAACATATTTCACTCTTTGAAGTGGCTTATGCAAGTTTTGGGCATTGAGATTGAATGAAGACTTGGGTTGTATATTGACTATTTAACTGGCCTGCTTTTGTCTCTATAGAGAGCCCGGAGCTTCATCGCACCATGTGTGGCATTTGGGCGCTCTTTGGCAGCGATGACTGCCTTTCTGTTCAGTGTCTGAGTGCTATGAAGATTGCACACAGGGGTCCGGATGCATTCCGTTTTGAAAATGTTAATGGATACACCAATTGCTGCTTTGGATTTCACCGGTTGGCGGTTGTTGACCAGCTGTTTGGAATGCAGCCAATTCGAGTGAAGAAATATCCGTACTTGTGGCTCTGTTACAACGGTGAAATCTACAACCACAAGAAGGTAAACAGAATAAAACCAGAAGCTATCTGGATGTGATTAAGCCTCAGAGCTAGTTGGTTATAATAATTTTATTATTGTTTAATGTTTTTTACTTTTCAACCACTTCCCATGTTCATTCTCACTTGCTCCAATCATATATAGATAGATAGGGCATAGATGCACAAAGAGGTAGAATGACTTGGTCACCAAAAAATAAATAAAATGAGGATTCCATTTCAGGTTTTTAACTTTAAGAATCTTTTTTTCCCTATTATTAATTTGAATATTAATTATAACCTGTGTTAGGCACCTGGGGTGCAGTATAAATATGAGAGGTAGGTCTGCATACTACTGGAGTTTATTCTATTAAGGAGCAGACAAAAAAAATCATTGTGCATATACTTGTGTTTTTGTGCACTCAGTCAGGTCCGACTCTTTGCGACCCCATGGACTGTAGCCCACCAGGTTCCTCTATCCATGGAGTTTTCCAGGCAGGAATACTGGAGCAGGTTGCCATTTCCTTCTCCAGAGGATTGTCCTGACCCAGGGATTAAACCCAAATCTCACATCTCCTGCATTGGTTGGCAGGTTCTTTACCAGCTGAGCCACGAGAAAAGCCCCATACATATACTAAGCTTTATGAAAAAATGAATTTGGAGTTGATGGGTATGGGAGATCCAGTTTCAGTACAGGTTTGTCAGAGAAGGCCTCTTGAGGAACTGTCGTTTAAACTCAGACCTAATGGACAAGGATGAACTAGCAGGGCTGGGGAGAGCATTTTGTGCAGAGGGAACAGCATGTGTAGAGCCCTGGGATGTTCATAAGTGAGCAAGGGGCAGCTGGGCCAGGTGGACTTGGGGAGGTCGGGCAGGACCAGAGCAAGCAGGACTTGGTAAGACAGTAGAATGTAATTCTAATAGCAATGAGATTTGAAGATTTTAAGGCAGGGATAGAATGTAATAGCTTGTGGGTGATCCTGCTGTTGACTAAAAAAATAACGCGGAACCTAAAAGTTGAGAGTTAGGTTTTATTCTGTGGGAATGTTAGGACAGTATCTCTGGTGACTCCTAGAGGGCCAATCCTGAGGAGGTAGGGAGGAGCCAGGCTATATAATCTGAATATTAAAAGATTACTGTTAAGAGAAAACAAAATCTCTCACATGAAGAGTTTTAGGGATCTCCTATGTATGGGAAGATGGAAGCATCCAGGCTTGCTGAAATCATTTCTTCAGCATGCATCTAGCTATCTGGGGCCAATCCTTGTTTACCATCAGAGATGGCAAAAGTGGCCAATGGCCCACTCACACATCCTCCCAGCTCCTCTCGGCTTCCTGGAGAGGAAGTAGATGATGGCTCCCAAATAGCTGGCTTTGTTTCACCTCAGCTTGGAAATTTGCATGTGGAAAAGGCTTGTTTACTGTAGAGCATAAAACAAAACATTTCATTTCAGTCCGCCCTTAAAATGGTAATTGTCTTAATCAGAGCCAAGGGACAGACAGGTAGCCAGATGCAGTGGAGTGCAAGAGGGAAGCACTAAAATTGGAACAACTTTCAGTCTGGTGAAAGCGTACTCTTAGAATTAGAGTGGTGAGGGTGTGAAAATTATGACCCGAGGAAGCCACATTTGCTAAGAGCATTGCAGTGTGGAATTCTTTGGGGCTAGTGTTTCATAAGAAAATTTTGAATCTAAGATTGGCAAGTTATTTTTTGTCGCTTGCCTCCCCAACTCTTAATTTTGAAAATTTCACTTTTATAGAAAATAACAGAATATAGAGCACCTGGATTGAATAACTGCTAATGTTTTGCCCTTTTGGCTTTACCTCTCTGTCTGTACTACACAGACAATCAATTCTGGGCTTAATCACTTTAGAGTATACCTAGGTGGTATAGAATCTGCCTGCTAATGCAGGTGACATAGGTTCAATCCCTGGGTCAGGAAGATCCCCTGGAGAAGGGAATGGCAACCCACTCCAGTATTCTTCCCTGTGATACCCCATGGACAGAGGAACCTGGTGGACTACAGATCATAGGGTCACAAAAGACTCAGACATGACTGAGCGACTAAACATCAATGGCAACAAATACTGTGGCACTTTAAAATATGTAAGCATTTATCTCCTAAGAAGAAGGACATTCTTCTACTTTACACCAATACTATTATATAACTCCTTAGAATCCATAATACCTTCTAATATCTAGTTCATAGTAAATTTCACCAGGTGTTCCAAGAACATATTGATATTTATAGCTGTGTTTTGGTTTGACTCAGATTTCATTCAAGGTTCATACATTGGGTTGTGATGTTTCTCAGTACTTTTTGAGCCTTCTTGATATATTCTTGTCATTCATGAGTCAGTCAATCAGTCAGTCAGTTCAGTCGTTTAGTCGTGTCTAACTCTTTGCGACCCCATGAGCTGCAGCACGCCAGGCCCCCCTGTCCAGCATCAACTCCGGAGTTTACTCAAACTCATGTCCATTGAGTCAGTGATGCCATCCAACCATCTCATCCTCTCTCATCTCCTTCTCCTCCTACCCTCAATCAGAGGTCTTTTCAGATGAATCAGTTCTTTGCATCAGGTGGCCAAAGTATTGGAATTTCAGCTTCACCATCAGTCCTTCCAGTGAATATTCAGGATTGATTTCCTTTAGGATGGACTTTCATTCATGAGTAGGGATTTATATTCTAGTCATCCTCTGGTCATGTTTATCTTTGAACAATAGCTTTAGCCATTGTTTGTTGTCCACTTAATTCACTTGTAGAAATACTTCAAGGAAAACGCTTCTCGTTTGAAGAAAATGGTTACAATTATTCAGGGCTTCCCAGGTGGCCCTCGTGGTAAAGAATCTGCCTGCCAAAGAAAGAGATGCAAGAGATGTGGGTTTTGACTCTTGGGTCAGGAAAATCTCCTGGAGAAGGAAATGGCACCCAACTCCAGTATTCTTGCCTGGAAAATTCCATGGGCAGAGGATCCTGGCAGGCTACAGTCCATGGGGTTGCACAGAGTCAGACAGAACTGAACAGCTGAGCACAACAGGGGCTATTGCCCACTACACATACAAACACACACACAGGTAGTTATGTAGCAGGTTCCTTTCTCGTGTTTCATTAAGGCCTACCACTGTACACCAGACATCATTTTCACGGTGCTTGGAAGTGAAATGGAACAGGAAAGGTAAAAATGGACTTTCAAACTAGTGGGAATAGAGGAAGGAAGCAGTTAAAACGTCCTTACTGGGAATTTCCTGGTGGTCCAGTGTTTTTAAGATTCCATGCTTCCACTGTAGGGTCTGTGGGTTTGGTCCCTGGTCCAGGAACTAAGATCCCACATGCAAGAGGTGTGGCCACAAAACAAACAAAAACCAAAAAATCTTCCTTTCTAAGCCAAGTTAGTACCATATATGTAAGAATGCTAAGTTGTATCATAGCAGTAGTAGCCTGATTTTCCCCTTAAATGAGATAGGAAATGCCTAGTTTTCCTTGAACAACATAGCTGCTTTTGTGTATTTTGTGAACATGTTGTTAAAAAGTTAAATATTTTGAAAACATTTTTTCTTCTAATGTTGTATTAGCCAAGTATGTTGTATTTTCAGAAGCAGAGGAGTTCCATTCCTTCTACCCATCGTTCAGGTTATCCAATGCAAACAGCTAAAATCTGTCTAAAGAGTAGAACCGACATTTTAGGCTATGTAAAATTCTTCAGCGTAAGCTTCAAAGTCCCCCTTTTTTAAATAAAAATAGAATTTACTACAAAATATAGCCAGCAGTGTGTTGAGAGTGGATGGAGACCCATCAGAGAGAAGAATAGGAGTGCAGGCTGGGCAGAGAGAAGGCCCTCTCGCGGTGGGGAGCGCTTCAGAAACCTGCAGCCAGCAAGTCAAACGGCAGTGTGATTTCTGGATGGTGGCAGGGTATTGGGGGCTTCAAGAGACTGGGCAGTGTACATGTGAATCATTAACCAGTAAATTACCTGTGAGCTTTAGGCCGAAGAGCCATGGTGATGAGGTGGTCATGGAGGGTAGGTTTGGAAGCTGTTGCTGGCTGAAAGTCATCGAGTGTTGCAGGCTCATTTATCCTGCAGGTACTTAAGCCCAGAAGGGTCAGCAGATGACCCTTTGCAACCCCTAGCTCCTCGTGACAGAGATCGCCACGGACAGTCTCTCAGAGCAGGGAGAGTGACCAAGAGGTGACTTCGTGGTCACTGAAAGTGGCCAGAGCCCATCTTTGGGCAGTTCTGAGCTTTTAGGCAAAACATTAAGAAATTAAAGAGTGAGTGTGGTTGTGAAGCATGTTTTACAGGTCATACAAGCATGGAGACTTTTTAAATTTTAAAAACCTGTTTTAAGTGTTCAAACGTACCCAGCATTTCCGTTTGATTTTGTTTATGTGAACCTCTTCTCTATTATCAGCCAAAAATATGAGTAAGTACAAAGAAAGAGGGACACCCTGAGAACTTTTCACCCTCACAATTTACCAATGGTAATGGAGAGTCACAGGAGTTTGGGCCTCATTTAAGGAAACCCTCTCTACACGTGGTGAGTGTGATGGTATCTTTCTTGTTCCCCAGGAGGATGTGGATGAATAAAGCTTCAGCATCATCATTCTGTCCGTCCCTGAGAAGTAGCTTTAATGCCTCTTGTGGAAGGACGGGATGCTGTAGGCCTCCCCAGGGCCAGCAAGTCTGTTCTGGACCGCTTGTCTCCATCATTGTGATGGACTCATCCATCAGGAATTAGTGTCAAATATGTTTGTCCTTTTGCTTTCTGTTTGCATAGGAAGTCTGTAAGGCTGAACTGAAAGAACTTCAGTCAATACTATGTTCCCAAACCAAAATCTCACTGTTGCAGAGGACACATTTTTAGTGTCATGACACTCCTGGACAAGCTATTTCCTTAACTTACATATTTATGTAAATACATGTGTATTGGGCTTCCCCGGTGGTTCAGCAGTAAAGAATCCTCCTGCCAATGCAGGAAATGCAGGTTTGATCCCTGGGACAGGAAGATCCCCTGGAGAAGGGCATGGCAACCCACTCTAGTATTCTTGCCTTGGAAATCCCATGGACAGATGAGTCTAGCGGGCTATAGTCCATGGGGTCACGGAAGAGTTGGACAGGACTTAGAGACTAAGCAGCAACAACTACACATGTACTACATGTATATTACACATATAGTATGTATATAATATCCATTCCCATCCCTCCATATAGTACAGAGGTACATTACCTTTCTCTTCTATTTATCAGAATGCACCTAAAGTTTTCATGGGCTTAACTTTATGTTACAATTTGTTTCTGAGTTCAAACAAGCTATATTTTGATAATGCCATGATTCTTTTAAATCACATCACTAAGGTACACAAAATTATAGAGCACAAAAATGCTGAAGCAACTTTGCAATAAAAAAAAATAAATGAAAGCACAGGATTCTAACATTTTCATTTTGCTATTGTTTCCTTAAGCTGCAACACCATTTTGAATTTGAATACCAGACCAAAGTGGATGGTGAAATAATCCTTCATCTTTATGACAAAGGAGGAATTGAACAAACAGTTTGTATGTTGGATGGGGTATTTGCATTTATTTTACTGGATACTGCCAATAAGAAAGTGTTCTTGGGCAGAGATACCTATGGAGTGAGACCTTTGTTTAAAGCCATGACAGAAGATGGATTTTTGGCTGTGTGTTCAGAAGCTAAAGGTAATCATAGAATTTTTCTGTGGTTTTTCATTATTGTCCTGATTGTGTGTTTTCTTCTTGACCATATTTACAAATCTAATGCAATCCATATATACAAATGGGGCAACCCAATTTTTTACAAGTGACTATGTTAGTCATGGAGTTTCTAGGCCTCCTTTTTTTTTTTTTAAACCACGGAGTTGGAGTCTCCTTTTTAGCACTTAAAATTCTGTAATCCTTGAAGGATAGATCTGTGGTAAAGTCATATAATTATTGTTGTGCCAATAGGTTCTGCATCTGGTTTGATCCCATGTGTGTTTTCAAGTTTTCCTGTGTCACATGGTGACGGTAAGGTTGGCCAGCCCTGCAGTTACCGCACTGTGGTACTGTGCCAGGCTGTCCCACAAAGTCATTTTTATTTAGCACTTTTTATTTATTTATTTTTTCCATTTATTTTTATTAGTTGGAGGCTAATTACTTTACAACATTGCATTGGTTTTTGTCATACATTGAAATGAATTAGCCATGGATTTACATGTATTCCCCATCCCGGTCCCCCCTCCCTATTTAGCACTTTTTAAACAGCTTTATTGGGGTATAATTTTCATGCCATATGGTTCATCCATTTGAAGGATACAATTCAGTGGTTTTTAGTATGTTCATAGATATCTGCATCCAACACTAGTCAATTTAGAATTATTTTTTTGTCATCTCAAAACTAAACCTTGTATTCTTAAGCTGTCACTCCCCACCCCTTTATATTCATTAAGCATTAAACTTCTTGTCCCGCCTACCTTCTTCCTCCTTCCCCACCCCTAGTCCCAGCCAAACACCAGTCTATTTTCAGTCTATGTGGATTTCCCTATTCTGGCCATTACATACCAGTGGAGTCATATCCTATGTGGTCTGGTTTTTGATTACTGGCTTCTTTCACTTGGCATAACGTTTCCAAGGTGTGTCTATGTTGTAACATGTTATCAGTATTTACTTTTTTAATTTACTTTTTATGACCTGAAGATATTTCGTTACCTGGATATACCACATTCTGTTCATCCACTGTTTATCCTTTTGTCAGTTGATGGACAATTGGCGTTTATGAATAATGCTTCTCTACATATATGGGTACAAGTTTTTGTGTGGTTTCATTTTTCTTGGGTATATACCTAGGAGTGACTGCATGATTTACTCTGTTTATAAATAGCATTAAAAAGAATAAAATACTTGGAATAAATGTAACAAAAGTACAAAATGGTGTGCTGAAAACTATAAAACATTATTGAAAGAAGATCTAAAGAAATTGGAAAGCATCCCATGATCATGGATTGAAAACTTACCATTGTTAAGTTGGCACAGATTCCCCTAATGGATCTACAGATTCAGCATGATCTCTGCCAGTATCCTAGGTGATTTTGTAGAAATTGACAAGCTCACTTTGAAATCCATAGGGAATTGCAAAGGATTCAGAATAGCCAAAGCAATCTTGAAAAAGAATAAAGTAGGAGGACTCTCCCTTCTTGACTTCAAAATGTACTACAAAGCAAGGGTAATCAGGACAGTATGGTACTGGCAGAAAGATAGACATACAGACCTTAGAACTAAGAGTCCAGAAGTGAATTCATATACCTGTAGTCAACTGATTGTCAGTTAGGGTATCAGGACCATTCAGTGGACAAATAATAGTCCAACAAATGATGCTGGGACAACTTGACATGTGGAAGAAAAAAAGTTAAACCATTACCTCATTACCTCACACCATTTATAAAAATCAAAGTGGATCAAATTCTAAAATTTGATCTCTAAGCACTAAAACTTTAGTAAAACTAAAACTTTAGTAAGCACTAAAACTATAAAACTCATAGAAGAAAGCATAGTGGTAAATCTTCATGACCTTCGATTTTGCAAAGATTTCTTTGATATGACACCAAAAGCACAAACAATGAGGGGAAAATAGATAAATTGGATTTCATCAAAATTAAACATTCTTGTACTTCAAAGGACACCATCAGGAACATGAAAACTCAACCCACAGAGTGGAAGAAAATGTTTGAGCATCATATTTATCATTTTTTGACAATAAAATTGAGGAAGACATTCATCATTTATGTCCTAGCTAGACAGCAATGACATGCTAAAATGTGATCTACCTCCTTGTCTGCCTTTTTGCTTCATTGTTTAAATCCTTTCTCACTTGTGATCATATGAGGAAGAGCGAGTGTATACATTATTTACCCAAAGTGCTATTAGGGAAGCCCAGCAAAGAGAACACAAGGGGAAAGTAGACTCCTTCCTTCCACTCTGTCTCTGATAACCTTGATACGGACTTATAATCTCACATCCAGTTTGCCCTCTGAAATTTCTTGACTTGTAATTTTTTTACATCTTTAACTGCCCTTTTCTAAACAACAGGATCTCATCTAGGGTACTACAGCAGTTTTCCTTTCTCAGTGCTTCCAGAGTAGACTATCTAAAACTCATTTGGTCGTGGTGCTTTAAATTATAATTGCTCCTCAACTTCCCCGGGGGCTGTGTGCCCACTTGAGGTCTGCTGGTGGGTAGTAGGATCTGGGTCTCATTTGCTGTTTGAATTCCATACTACACAGTAGATTCCTGGGTTAAGAAACTCAAATTGTACATCTTAAGTATTCTGTGTAGATAGGCTGTTACTATTTACAATAAAACTTTTTTTTTTAATCAAAATCATGGTGATGTCAAGTTGGTTACTTCCTGTGAGAACTTAGAAAATTTAAATTATAACGTTTAACTCACACACAGTATATAATAACTACATAAGGGATATCTGAGTTTAAAGTACCTTAACAGTGGATCATTTTGCTTATTAAAGGACTGAGAACCATAGCTGTTTTTTTAAAAATACCCCAGTGATGACAAATGACTGCCAGGATATCATAAAATTAAATTTCAAGTCCATCTTTTTGTTTAATAAATATATCATTTGTTTGCTTAGTAAAGAAAATAGATTTTTTAAAATTAGAAATTCCAGCTAGGGAGAAGAAATCGAATATTGGAGGTTTTCCTATTGCCTTAAATTATTAGAAATCAGTGTAATTTTTCTGTATATCTCTGTACACTATTACCTTTCTAGTAGGGTTTGAAGTAATTATATTTTTCCCATTTTGCTTATGCAATGGACGTTGTATTTGTATTAAAAAGAGAAGATAAAGAGGAATTTAGACATGAAAGTTACTATGAAGTGTTATCCTCGTTTGAATAAATTTATCTTTTTGATTTTGTAGGACTGGTTAACCTGAAGCACTCCATGACTCCGTTTTTAAAAGTGGAGCCTTTTTTCCCAGGACATTATGAAGTTTTGGACTTAAAGCCAAATGGCAAAGTAGCATCGGTGGAAATGGTGAAATACCATCACTGTAGAGATGAGCCCCTGCATGCCCTGTATGACAGCGTGGAGAAACTCTTCCCAGGTGAGAGCAGATGCCCATCCACCTGTTCCCACCTCTTGCCCCCAGAGGAAAACTGTACTCTCCCATCATTGAAATAACATCAGTTTGCAAATCTGTTTCCTTTTTAACTTGGAGGTGACGGCACGCTGAAATTTGGCCTGCTTCACTGTTGAGCAAATGCCACCATGATAGAGGTGGATGACTGCATACCTGTTTCAATAAATGATTCACCCAGACCTTTCTGCAGCTGTTTCATTTCCTTTATGTGTTAATAGGTTTTGAGATAGAAACTGTGAAGAGCAACCTCCGGATTCTTTTTGACAATGCTGTTAAGAAACGTTTGATGACGGACAGAAGGATTGGCTGCCTTTTATCAGGTGAAGTCAGCTTAAAAAATCTAATTACATTTCATGCATATGTAGTTTAAATGATATATAACTATCCTGGAGGCTTAGACTATAAAATACTTACTATTGATTCAGTCTTTCCTCCATTATAGGATGAAAAAGTTTTCTGTAAGTTGTTTTCAATATTCAAAATAATACAGCAACTTAAAGTTATACTATAATTATATTGGCATGAATGAGCTAGTAAACATGTTTTAGAATGTTCATGTCCTCCTACTCCACAGTCTTGATGTAAGCCCTAGAATGTGTAGTGTTTTTTGTCATTCAGTTACTCACTAAGTAGTGTCCAACTCTTTGCAACCCCATGGACTGCAGCATGCCAGGCTTCCCTGTCCTTCACCATCTCCTGGAGTTTGCTCAAACCCATGTTCATTGAGTCGGTGATGCCATCCAGCCATCTCATCCTCTGTCATCCCCTTCTCCTCCCGCCTTCAATCTTTCCCAGCATCAGGGTCTTTTCAAATGAGTCAGCTCTTCACATCAGGTGGCCGAAGTATTAGAGCTTCAGCTTCAGCATCAGTCCTTCCAATGAATATTCAGGATTGACTAGTTTGATTTCCTTGATGTCCAAGGGACTCTCAAGAGTCTTCTCCAACACCACAGTTCAAAAGCATCAATTCTTTGTCATAGTGGCTTTTAACCAATTCAGGTACTGTTACCATTATGACAGGTTAACTGTTAGATTTTCCTTACTCAAGTTGATTTTCAGTTTCTAAGACTTGGGGAGTTTAAAGGCAAAACTCTAACCTTGAAGCTTAGGAGGACTGTAAATCGCATCTGCTCCTCCCTTGGGTAAGGCCCATAACCACCGCACTTTCTGCCTTGCGCATAGGCGGCTTGGATTCCAGTTTGGTTGCCGCCACTCTGCTGAAGCAGCTGAAAGAGGCCCAAGTACAGTACCCTCTCCAGACGTTTGCGATTGGCATGGAAGACAGTCCTGATTTACTAGCTGCTAGAAAGGTAAGACACTGCCTTTTCCTATTAGGTAGTTGAGACAGACTTGTTAATAATTGATGGTTCTATACTTTGCTGCTGTATTGACTTAGGTAATTGTTTTGAATTAAATATATTAAAATGGAATGAAACGCCTATTGAAAATCACTTGTGCTGTACACTGTATTTTGGGTACTTTTATCTTCTATGGGCCATGCAATCCTCATAAAACCCAATGATGGTAATCCTGGGTAAGACTGAAGAATAAGGGCATGGTAGAGTGGTTAAGGCTGAAGGCTTTGGAGCCTGATTGTTGGTTTCAAATCTTCACTTTAGCACACAGTCCCCCACTCCTGTAGTGGGAGTGCTCGTATCTACTGTGGCACAGGTTTGAGGTGAAAATTACATAGTTCATATCAAGTGTGGGATAGAACCTAGCATGCAGTAAGTACTTAGAATGTTAGCTGTTCTTGTTGCTTTTCATTTTCTTTATAAGATACTGTATTTAGGACTGTGGGCAGAGAGAACGTTGTACACATTCAGTGTGTGGCAGAACTTGTTCCCACTCTGATAGAGCTTCCATAGAGTGGATGAGAAAGATCAAGAGTGGTCCAAAAGCCACTGAATCACTGATACTGAATGAATCTGAAAGAGCCAGAAAAAACTGAATGAGGGGAGGGGCCATTTAATTTAGGAATGGCATTCTAGATGTACAGTGAGGCATTGCAGGAGGGCCAAAGGGAGACAAAATCAGCACAAGGGGAGTGGAGGGCATGCTTGTTAGGGTAAAGGCTTGGAGTGAGAAGGGCAAACAGGAGGCCTGCCTCTTGTGGTCAGTGGGGGGCAGACACTGGGGGCACAGGGGAGCCAGACTAATGGGGCTTGTGTGCAGTGTCCTGGGGAATCCTTTCCCCTTACTGTGGCGGCCTGTGAAATCATTTCCTCTTAGTTTGTCTTACTTGTTTCCCACCATTGTTAATTCATGATGTGTTATGAACTACTGTGGTCTAGTAGTTAAGACTGAGCTTCCAACGCACGGGGCATGAGCTTGGCCCCTAGTCAGGGCCCTAAGATCCCACATACTATATGAAATGGCCGAAAAAGCCACAGCTTCTTCTTGAAAGAGTAGTCCTTTTCTTTAAAGAACAAGCATATGCATATTTCCTCATGTAATCAGGTGGCAAATCATATTGGGAGCGAACACCATGAAGTCCTCTTTAACTCTGAGGAAGGCATTCAGGTCCTGGATGAAGTCATATTTGCCTTGGAAACTTATGATATTACAACGGTCCGTGCTTCAGTAGGTAAGGTATTTTATGATCCCCCAAAGATTTTAATACTGAAGAGTGTAAGGTTTAAAAACTACTATTTCAAGCAGTTGTTTAAAGAACAGTACTTAAGAATGAACTCAGGTAAAATTCCTATGTCAGCCCTTGTTGAAGACGAAACAATTTAAAGAATTCCTTAATTCCTTAAGAATTAAGAATACATAGTTAAACATCCACGTTTTGGTATCAATATATTTTAAAGAGTAGATACATAGTTTCTATAGCCTCTTTCCCCCTGTTTCTCTGTATAAAAGTTTGTTGGACTATATGTTCTAACTAGTTTCTGTAAGGAATCCTTTTTTTAGATATATTTTGGTAAATAGTCCATCAGTAACTATTCTTGTCTAGGAATAAACACTTGCTCTACCCTGTGGACACATACTGAGATCATAACTGTACTCCACATCAGACTGGTCAAATATTGCTGAGCTTCTGAGCACTACTGGCTTAGACACAGCTCTCTTTTAAGGAACTCAGAATCCAGTAGGGTTCCATTGCAAAGTTTAGCGTCTGCATTCTCATGCTTTAAACTTTGCAGTAACACCACTGGGGTGCTCTCTCTCCCAAAGGGGCAAAAATGAGTTCTTGAAGGGCAAAAATCTTAGGTATTACAGTGGTTTCTGGCTTTCCAAAGTACTTAGATATACAGTATTTCTGGTACTAATATTTCATTGGTGAAGGAGATTAGGGGAAAAGATCTAAAAAGTATCACTAGGGAGATAATAATCAAAAAACCTGTTAAGAACAAATACTAGTTTACAGGGCTGTGGAGCAGGAACCAACCAACATCTTTTAATGATATAACATGCTTTGCTGTATTTGAAATACGCTGAATGGGGAGTAAGTATGAGGGAAGAAGCCCCAAATTAAAATTAAGCTACCAAAACCCCAATTTATTATTTTCATGTAGTGCTACTAGTGTGAGAGTTATCAAATTTAAGACATTTGAGTCATTGTTCAGCAGAATTTTTTTAGCATTTTTAACATTGTTTAGCAAAATTTTCAGCTAGACATTCTTGGTCTGAAAGCAGGAATATTTAAAAACCTACATATAAAATTATGAAAGAGCTATGTCTTTACAGCAGTACAACTTTTAGATTAAGTACATACAAGTGGTTTGCACTATAGATAAAAGGTCATTATTTTGCAAACTACTTCACAATAACAGAGTCTAATAGCAAAGCTTGCCGCCATTTGAAACAAAATAAGAGGCATTTTTGGTAGAGGGTTATGTGGACATTAACAATAATTTCTGTCTCTTGTTTAAGGTATGTACTTAGTTTCTAAGTACATTCGAAAGAACACAGATAGCGTGGTGATCTTCTCTGGAGAAGGTTCAGATGAACTTACGCAGGGTTATATATATTTTCACAAGGTACGCATTCTCAAATGGAAGGATATTGGTCCTGGGGAAGAAAAGTATGAATTATTTGACCATTTTCTATTGTCTTTTTTGATATAACAGTGACACTTGGAATATTTTGTGAGGTATTTGAGAAAATCTAATAGTGTCTGTATTTGTTTGGGTGAGAAAGAAGTCTCAATTGTGTCAGATAATACCCGCTTTTTAAAAACTAGTTAACATAAGAATCACATTTCTGGTATTTCTTGGTCCCCTGCTGTCTTACGGGCTTTGGACAACGTGAACCCGTCATTTTATCTGTCGGTTCTAGCAGTCTTGGAACGAGGGAAGGCATGCTTTATAAAGCATTTACTTTCTTCTCTAAGCTTGGGTGGTCTCTTGTCTTACCCACCTTTAGAGTTGGAGTTGTGTGCAAGAATAAGAAATAAGAAATTTCATGTACCAAAAGCAAAGCTTGAAGGGTGTATTTTTAACTTCAGCTCTGTTTGTACACAGGCTCCTTCCCCGGAGAAGGCCGAGGAGGAGAGTGAGCGGCTTCTGAGGGAACTCTACTTGTTTGATGTTCTCCGAGCAGATCGAACTACTGCAGCCCATGGGTATCTTGATATTTCAGGAAGTGATTATAAAAATAACCTCAGAAAACAAAAGGCTTTCTTTTCATTTAGTATATGCTGTGAAGTATGCCTTTTATAGAAAAGAAGAAGCTTGTCACTTAGTGCAGAGGGAGTAAGTGAAATCAGAGTGCTGTTGTCAGGGTGAGAGTAAGTGGGTAGGTGGCTTCAGGTGGAGTTTCTGTCTTGAAAACATAACATTCTCCATACTTCTGGGCAGCTGAGAGGGAAGGCACTTGCAGCTCTTTTGGGTCCTTTTAAGAGAAATAAAGCTTATACAGCTTCATGTAGTTTAGTGAGCCTTTAGGGCTTGCCATGTCTGTTTGATGCTGTGGGGACCATGTAGGGGAGAGGGAAGTGAAGATGCAAGAGATTTGATTAGCTTATAGAATAGGTTTCTTTGGTATCATTTCTGATTATTGAAAGTTGCCACTTTTTAAAGCTGGTCATTTAAAGACTTAACCGTATGTGATGGGGCTTCCCTGATGACTCGGTGGTAAAGAATCCCCCTGCCAGTGCTGGAATGGCAGGTTCAATTCCTGGGTCAGAAAGATCCCCTGGAGAAGGAAATGGCAACCCACTACTCAAGCATTCTTGCCTGGGAAATCCCATGAACAGAGGAGCTTGGCTGGGTACAGTCCATGAGGTCGCAAGAGAGTCAGGCACAACTTAGTGACTAAACAATAACAACTGTATGTGATAAACAATCTTTTTCGGTTGCTTCTACTAAATCACACTTAGGTTAGACAATAATAGGGGTTTGGAGAAAGAACTGAATTCAGACATTTTTATTACTAATTGATTAATAACTTATATTCAGTATAAATCAGTGTTCCATAGTGTTTCATCAGAGGTCACATCATCTGTTTTTTGAACCCTGGTTAGGACAGGTAGATAGGATAATAGTCACAGAATGGCGTTACAGTTTTTAATAGGGTAATAGATAGTCTCACCTAGAAAAAACTATGACTTAGAAAAGTCTAGGCAAAGTCCATTCTTAATGTTCAGATCGCTCATAATTCTTCTTCTGCTTTTTGAGATATTTAATGGATTACAGAAGGGAAAGTAAAAGTAATTATTCTCCGGTAGTTTGTTTCCCTCCCTAGATGACATAGTACATATTTTGAATGAAGGTTTTTGTACTCATGCATGTAGTGTAGGGCAGTTATGTAGGACTGTAAAAAGGACTTTATGATCTTAAGATTATTTAGAGGCTGGGTGAATTCCTAGGAAACTAAATCAGGATCTAAACGGATGGGCACTAAAGATCCATTTAGATTTAAATTTTCTTTTCCTTTTTAAGCCTTGAATTGAGAGTCCCTTTCTTGGATCATCGCTTCTCTTCCTACTACTTGTCTCTGCCTCCAGATATGAGAGTTCCCAAGGTGGGTAAATCAACTGAAGGTAAAAACTGTCCATTGATACTGGTGATATTTAGAACTTTTACTGATACTTCTTTCATTTTCATGTCAGAATGGGATAGAAAAACATCTCCTGAGAGAGACATTTGAGGACTCCAATCTGATACCTAAAGAGATTCTCTGGCGACCAAAAGAAGCCTTCAGTGATGGAATAACTTCAGTTAAAAATTCCTGGTTTCAGATTTTACAAGACTATATTGAACATCAGGTATCATATCTTTTAAAAGTATATTTTCTGGAATAAGACAATTGGATGCAAAGTAGTAATCCCTGTTCATTTTGTATTTGATTTAAATGTTTTGTGACTGTAGGAGGGATTCCCTATAAATATTACTTCTTTTAAATTTCAAGAATTCTGTGAAAATTAAGTAGCATGAAGGATTATAAGTAGCATCTAGAATAGAGAGGAGACTTACTGGTCCTCTCTGACTTTTATCTTACACATTTTGGGGCACCTGTTGGATGCCAGACTTTACGCACAAAAGAATCAAACACTTAGAGCCACCACTTTGGAGAACTATGCATGTGAATGTTCCTTAAAGGTCGCTGCAGCTATGTACGTTAGGTTATTTTAGCATTTGCTAAGGGATTAAAAGAGTCTCTCATTGTTCAGAGAAGACTTTTCTTTTTTTTTGTTTGTTTGATTTTAGTTTTTGTGAAACCAGATTAAATACATATATTTCTGTGCCATTTAAAAGGCCATTTCGCTTCTATCCTGTTACTCTTACAGGTTGATGATGTGGCGATGGCAAGCGCAGCCCAGAAATTTCCCATCAATACCCCCAAAACAAAAGAAGGCTATTACTACCGTCAGATCTTTGAACACCACTACCCAGGCCGTGCCGACTGGCTGCCCCATTACTGGATGCCCAGGTGGACCAGCGCCACAGACCCTTCTGCCCGCACTCTGACCCATTACAAGGCCTCTGCCAAAGCTTAGGCACTTGCTCAGGCTTGGAGTCAAAGTAATAATTTCTTCTCCTTGTGAAGGGTAGGGGTCTTGAGGGCAGGAAGTGCCAACTGCCCAGGCTTGCTTGGGTGTGAAAAAATAAAAGTCTTAAATCCGAGACATTGCTGTAGTCATTTATATTCATACAGCCCCGTGACCAGAGGTAGCTAGAGACTGAACAGCTTTTACTGTATCACAGGAAGGTAGAGAGTGAGGTAGGAGAGGGGAAACCATCTGACGGCTGGGAGACCTCACACACCCTCTCCTGTAGAAGACTTCTGGGTCTCATGCCAGTAGGGCATCCTTATGGTCCTCCCCTCATCTCAGTGCGGTCCTCCTCTGGCTTCCTCCCTTAGTTCTCTCTGCATTCCCAACGGCTGGCTAGTTACACTCTGGAGAGGTGAGTAACTTGTAAGACTTAGACAGCTCTGTTTTGTAAAATGGGTTGACTGGAAACTGCACAGCCTAAAAGTTGAGAATTGTGTTTTATTAGGTGGAGTCTCTGACTTAAGCCCTGAAGACAGCCTCTCAGATGGCTCTGAGGGACCACTCCAAAGAGGTAAGGGGAGAGGTAGGATATACAGGAGTTTTTGCCACAAAGCCAAGCAGTCTGACATGTCAGCAGATGACTAGCAGAGAGATCCAGGTATCTCAAGTTAATGAATTTAGCACTTTTCTAGGTGTGGGGAGATGCAAGAGTCTGGCCTCACTGAAATGATTCCCTTGATGTGCACCTCAGCTATCAAGGGCCAGCACCCTGCTTTTCTCCAATCCTGAGCCCCTCAGGCTGTACAGTGGGTGGCGGGTGGTTGATAGCTTAGTGGCTGCGATGCCCTTCGTTTACTGACACATCAGGCAACAGTTTTTAGCCATGGACAGTAATTTACATCTTATTCTGTTGATCTGACATCTCTTCTGGAACTATTGTTGTAAATTGGGAGCCAGCAGGATTTTTCAGGGCTAGACAGTAAATGTTTTAGGGCTTACAGACCTCTGTTGGAGCTGTTCGGCTCTGCCATTTTGGTGTAAAAGCAGCCACAGGTGGTATGGAAACTTGTGGGCAAGGCCATGATAGGCACACACATGGGCATGGCTGTGTTCTATTAAAACTTAGAAAAACAAGCAGTGGGCTGGATTCAGCCCATAGGCCAGTTTCCCAAGCCGTGTTCTAGAGCCACGTATTTCTCATAAAAGGGAAAAGCATTCTGAACCCAGTTGGAGGAAGAGAAAATGTAACAATGAACAAGTCAGTTTTCATTTGAATGCTCATTGGTTGTTTAGGGACTGGATTGTGAAGTCTATTTTAAAGGTGAGTTTAGTTATCAGAAATTTTTGAAGGGGAAACTCCTGGTGCACAGGTATATACAAGAATGATTGATGGGGAGAGTGAGTAGGCCAGGAATTTAGCCGGTAAGTTGGAAACTGGACACTGATCAAGGTGAGCTATAGGCCTTTGCTTATTTTTACAGAGTCTCTAAATATATTTTGACATAAATCGTACCCATGTCATCTTAGGTCAGTTTCCCAAAGTAATAGAAGTAAAAGCAAAAAGAAACAAGTGGGACCTAATCAAACACACAAGCTTTTTGTACAGCAAAGAAAACCATAAAATGAAAAGATGACCTATGGAATGGGAGAAAATGTTTGCAAATGTTGCAATGGACAAGGGTCTAATTTCCAAAATAACAACCCAATTGAAAAATGGGCAGAAGATCTAAATAGATATTTCTCCAAAGAGGACATTCAGATGGCTAATGGGCAGCACTGTTAATTATTAGAGAAATGCAAATAAAAACTGCAATGAGATCACCTCACACTGGTCAGAATGGCCAGTATTAAAAAGTCTATAAATAACAGATGCTAGAGAGAGTATGAAGGAAAGGAAATCCTCTTGGTGGGTTGGTGGGAATGTAAATTGGTACAGCCACTATGGAGAACAGTATGGAGGTTCTTCAATGAAAAATAGTTGCCACATGATCCAGTGATCCCACTCCTGAGCATGTATTTGAAGAAAACTCTTAACTCAGAAGTATACATGCATCCTGATGTTCAAAGCAGCACTATTTAATAGCCAAAACATGGGAACAACCTAAACGCCCATCAACAGATGAATGGATAAAGATGTGGTGTACAGACACACACACACTGGAATATTCAGTTCAGTCGCTCAATTGTGTCCAACTCTTTGTGACCCCATGGACTGCAGTACACCAGGCTTCCTTGTCCATCACCAACTCCCAGAGCTTACTCAAACTCATGTTCATCCAGTCAGTGATGCCATCCAACCATCTCATTCTCTGTCATCCCCTTCTCCTGCCTTCAATCATTCCCAGCATCAGGGTCTTTTCAAAAGAGTCAGTTATTTGCATCAGGTGGCCAAAGTATTGGAGTTTCAGCTTTAGCATCAGTCCTTCCGATGAATATTCAGGACTGATTTCCTCTAGGATGGACTGGTTCGATCTCCTTGGAGTCCAAGGGACTCGAGTTTTCTCCAGCACCATAATTCAAAAGCATCGATTCTTTGGTGCTCAGCTTTCTTTATAGTACAACTCTCACATCCATACATGACTATTGGAAAAATCAAAGCTTTGACTAGATGGACCTTTGTTAGCAAAGTAATGTCTCTGCTTTTTAATATGCTGTCTAGGTTGGTCATAACTTTTCTTCCAAGGAGCAAGCCTCTTTTAATTTCATGGCTGCAGTCACCATCTGCAGTGATTTTGGAGGCCCCCCCCCCCCCCCCCCCGCCAAATAAAGTCAGTCACTGTTTCCATTGTTTCCCCATCTTTTTGCCATGAAGTGATGGGACCAGATGTTATGATCTTAGTTTTCTGAATGTTGAGTTTTAAGCCAGATTTTTCACTCTCTTTCCCTTTCATCAAGAGGCTTCTTAGTTAGTCTTCGCTTTCTGCCATCTGTGTATCTGAAGTTATTCATTTTTCTCCTGGCAATCTTGATTCAAACTTGTGCTTCATCCAGTCCAGCATTTTTCATGATGTACTCTGCATATAAGTTAAATAAGCAGGGTGACAATATAAGCCTTGACATACTCCTTTCCCGATTTGGAACCAGTCTTGTTCCATGTCCAGTTCTAACTGTTGCTTCCTAACCTGCATACAGATTTCTGTGTGTGTGTGTACACATATACACACATATATACATATATGTATGCATATATGACTATATATATATACATATATATATATATATACATTCTCATACATATGTGAGAGGTTGCCTTAGTTTGGTCTGAAGTCTGATAGGTCCTTGGAGGGGGGTCCTCACAGGAGAAAAAGGCAGCCACAGGGAGGCAGTTCCATATCGCTCTAAACCACAACACCAAGCACATACCTACCAACTGGTCTAGTATTAATACTTTATTGCATTAACTCATTCAGTGAGTTAACCTTCACTCTGAGGAAGTGGGGAAGATTTTATTTTCTAAAAGTGGCAACAGCAGTATTCTCTAGTCCCACAGACTGCCTTGCTGTGCCTCTCAAGAGGCAGTCTTTTTCCCACCGTCATGAGCCTGGGCGGAATTTTATGAATGCCTTGACTAGTAGAATCGATTAGTAAGTGACTTCTGAGGCTAGGTCACACAAGGCATTTTGCCTCTGCTTTTTCTCTCTAGATGTGTGTTGTAAGCAATCCCAGCCACATGGAGAGGCCCTGTGTAAGAGGGCTGTCAGTCCCAGCCACCGTCTCAGAGTCCATCACCAGGTGTGGGGTCAGTGAACCTCCAGATGATTTCAGCTCCTAGTCTGAGTCTGCCAGCTGAGACCTCAGCTGTGGGAGCAGAAATAAGCCATCCATGCTGTGCTCTGTCCAAATTCCTGACTGATCAGTCTGTGAACCTAGTAAATGGTGATTGGACACCATTACATTTTGATAAGGTTTCCTACACAGACAGTAGCTGGAACAGGTAAGCCCCGTTATCTCTATTTGACAAAGTTTAAGTCACTTCCCCGGGACTTCCCAGGTGGCACTAGTGGTAAAGAATCCACCTGCCAATGCAGGAGACATGAGAGGAGCGTTCGATCCCTGGGTAGGGAAGATCCCCTGGAGCAGGAAATGGAAACCCACTTCAGTTTTCTTGCCTGGAAAATCCCATGGACAGAGGAGCCTGGTGAACTACAATCCATGGGACCACAAAGAGTCTTACATAACTAACTGACTGAGCATGTGCGTGTGCACACACACACACACGTACATCACTTGCCAAAATCATTGAGATAATTACTAAGTGGTGAAGTCCCAAGTTAGCCAGACAGACTGGCTCCAGAGTTCTTCCTGACGATCCTCCCATTGCCAGCATGAAACTACAGCCTGGGTCTCTGTTGTGAATTAGGAACTAGGGGGAAGGGCCTCCTTGGGCTTGAGTTGGGAGCAAGAGCAGGGAGAGCTGGGTTACTTCCCAGGGCAGCACAGTGATGATAATAATTTTCTATAAAGGGTTAGATGATGAGAAAACAATCCAAAATTTCAGTGCATTTCAATAACAAATGTTATTTCTTGCTCAAACTGGGCCTCTGGTGGGTTCTGCTCAGTGTTGAAGGGTCATATCACCCTGGGATCCAGTTGATGGAAACACAGTTTGACTAACACTTGCATGAACAGCAAAGCAGGGAATAAAGACTGGTGAATCATGTGCCACAACTTAGATCTTCCACCCTGCAGGGACACATCACTTTTCACAGGTCAAAGCAAGTCATGCGACTACTCCTAACTTCAAGGTTGCACCTGCCAGAAAGGGAAGTCAAATATTTTTGAACAGTACTAACAACTCCCCAAATCCACCCTTCAGTCACCAAATACTCTCAGGTCACTCTCATTCCTACACACAAAATATACTCATCCCTTTTTCAAGAGTGACAATTCCATCTTATCCTGGCCACATGCCCAGAGTTGAGGATTACTGGGTGACAGACTGAAGTGCCAGGTGGCGGCGCCTCATGAACTTACAAGAAGTTACCTATTCCCCATCTGTTCAA